CGATGAATGTCTCAATAGATGGCAATGCAACACGTGGAAGACCGAAAAGCAGATGCATAGATAGAATCAACAAAGCTGCGTGGAGATAAATGGAAAGAAATAGTGAAAGTTTTTATCGTTTTAACTTTTACGTAAATAAAAAAAAATGAAACACGTTAAGATAAAAATACTAAAAAAAAATAAATAAAACAAATACGTAAAAAACAATGCTAAGATCTTTCAGGAGAACTTTCGATAGCTAAAAACTACGATTTTTCTGATTCGTTTTTGCGCATAAATACTAAACGGTGCATACAAGCGGAAAAATACACTTTAGAAAATTATATAACGTTAAATAATGCATCGAATGAGTACTAAAATATAGTAATTTGGGTAACTCATTTATTGAAAATACCGTTAACAAATATTGTTTTTTGCTTTATTTAAACTTGTCAAAAACTGAGTAAGTTACTATAAATTACACTGTAGCTAGGAATTGAGTTTCCTAAGAGAAAGAGCACGTAGTATGATTGTTTTTGAGAATCAAAATTTTAAATTACGTCAGGTACAACTATCGAAATTGGAAACCTCTTGATGTCTGGCAATCGGCTACGGAACTACATATGACTTGCAACACTTCAATATCATGGGTGTTTATTCTAGTGAGTAACTCTTTATTATAATATGCTAAATGTACTATATATATACTATTTTTTTTTTGTTGCTTTAAAAGATCCAATACTTGGTCAATTTCATTGAACTTTTAATTAATGCTTGTATAACAGAAAATCAACAAGTTATGATGCATTTATGTTTATTCTTTTCGTTTTATTTCATTCTTTCGTTGGAAACTTGCCGGAAATAGCTAACTTAAATCTTTTCTGATATTAAAAGTGTCTTATCTGCTGAATAAAAGGTAAATAAAAATTTGATAAGCTTACGATTTCAATTAAATTGACTCATGGAGTTCTTATATATTTACTTACAAAGAGGTCTTATTTCCTGTATATCATCGGGAATAAATAAATAAAGAAAAATGCAATATGTTTAAAATTCATTTAATAGTTTTCTTTATGTAATATTTACAGATATAACAATAAAATATTCTATGCTTTCTAAAAACACGTTCAACATCACAAATCTATTTATTTTAAACCTTAAACTTTATTTACACATCGGAATTGCACTGTCCCAGAGCTGTGTGGCAGCTGAACAATAAACAATTCTACACATTGCCAAATAACATAATTTATTTACAAAATAAATTGAAAAAAAAAATGAGGTAACGTGTTACTATAATTAATTTTGGTTTCTACAATGTAAGGAGTAACGTTTTTAAATCTACCTGGCTTACGGGCATTTCCCTTTAATGCTATTTATTTACATATTAATATACATGAGATAAAATTAAATTTTGTACATATAGATAAGCGTACCTATTTTCTATACAATAAAATTTAACATTTTTTTCATCATTCATTCTTAAAAATCAACAATACAATCCTTCAACATGAACAATAATAGTTAATATAGGCTGTAATATCGGTGGCATTTAAATTATAAATAGTTAAGATTATAATTAATTAAAATTTCATGTTTAAACAATAAAGGAGGTCAGAACTGAATATGAGGACATTGATTTTTATAAAATGAAATACAGAATAAAATACTGGTAGCAGATCATATTATATAAATATGAAAGATTTACATAATAATATATATATATATATATTATATATATATATATATATATATATAATATTATGATATATATATATATATATATATCATAATTTCAAAATTAACATTTTAACTAAAATCATTCGTTATGAAGGTTTTTCTTTCGACATACTTACTTTATTTCTGTTTAAATTTGCAAATATCTGCTCATTTAAAAATTAATAAAAATAAGTTCCATTCAAAAGTAATGAAATAAAATAGAACTATATATGCCACAGAAATATAAATTAAGTAAATCGAAAGCAAAATTAAATTTTCAGTTCTTTTGCTATCGTATTGTTTATTCTTGGTAAAAAAAAAATATGAGATTCCATTTTTGATAACATAGAACTGAATAGCAGTATCAGCACTATATTAAAAAAAAAAAAAGGTGGTTTTGAAAATGTTCAACAAAACGAATTTTTTAAAGATAAATATAAAAATCAGATATTTATTTAATTATTGTTTATAAATATCGTCAATTCTATAATTTCATGCATACAAAATTACATTTACATGTATTCTCCTTTTACTTGATTAATAGCTAAAATAAGATGTAGTATTTTTAGTGAATCATTCTTTTTCGTAATAGTATTTCAGAAAAGTAAAACCATATTGTAAATTGATTAGTATATATATATATATATATATATATATATATATATATATATATATATATATATATATATATATTTAAGTTACAAATAAAATTATATTTGATTATTGACTTCAGTCATTTTATTTAAGAGAGAATATCCACTCGTTGATCAAACATAGAGAAAAAAAACTAGTTCGTCATAAAAAGATGTCATCATCATCATCATCATCATATTCCTGATCCCAATACCGCTGTGTGGGCTATATCTTTTAGAGCTTGGACCAGGTTTCCCTTTCTTGAGCCAACTCTCTTCTCTTACTCCAATCCATACCTCGCTTCCTGAACGCCTCTTGTACACTGTCTTCCCAGGATATGCGTGGTCTTCCTCTAGGTCTTCTCACCTCTACACGGGTCGGCTGTTTTCTCTTGATCCATTCTAAGAAGATGTCTGAACCATCTTAGCTTGTGCTCCTCTAGGATTGTTTCAGCCGGTTTGACCCCGAGGCTAGTCCGTACAGTGGCGTTCCGGACCCTATCTCTTCTGACCTTTCCCTAGACCTTCCAAAGGTATCGCATCTCAATGGCTTGGATTCGACTTTTCTGTTTCGAGCTGAGGGTCCACAATTCAGAGGAGTGCGAAAGGATAGGGAGAAATGTCGATTTGTAGACTGCTACTTTAGTTAGCTTCTTTACCTCTCTTCTGCCCAGAAATCCCCTCCGGAGCAGATAAAACATTCTGCCAGCTGCCTCGATTCTTTTACTCAACTCTTCATCAATATAACCACTTTCGTTGAGATGAGCACCCAGATACTGGAAATTATCTACCTGCTCCAATCTCGCACCACTTGCTCTCATCACCCTCATTATTCTCCAGGGCTTCTTCCCTATTCTCATAGATTTAGTTTTTCCCGGGTTAATCTTCATGTTTATCGTGGCTATTTCTTCCTGGAGGATGTTAATGTTATATTGGAGGTCTCGATCGTTGGCAGCTAGCAAGACCAGGTCGTCAGCAAATGCCAGCACAGAGAATCCTGTCGGTTGCAGTTTTCGGTGTCCTAACTGGAACTGCCTCATCCTTACTTTAGCCTTTTTAAGTGCCATGTCTAAAACAATTACGAACAGTAGCGAGCTTAAGCTACAACCTTGGCGGATACCTATTGTCGTCTCAAATTCTTTTGAAATGTAGTTCATGGTCCTAACTACATTTCTGGTCTTGTTATAGATGTTCATCACAGCCAAAATTGTTCTTTGATCGGTCCCTCTTTCAGACAATGCCTGCTTTATATCTTTCTTCCTCACTCTGTCAAAAGCCTTTTGGAGGTCCACAAAACACACAGAAAGCTCCTTATTCTTCTCGACAGTTTTTTCTGTAATTTGTCGCATTGTAAAGATAAGATCCTGTGTACTTCGTTGCCCTCTGAAGCCGTACTGTTCTTCCCCGAGCTGACTATCGACCAACCTTCTTATCCTCCTCTACAGTATTCTGGAATAAACTTTACTGGGTACACTGAGAAGCGATATTCCACGATGATTCCCACACTCTCTGTTATCTCCTTTCTTATAAATGGGCACGATCACTGCAACTTCCCAGTCTTTCGGAATTTTCTTTTCCTTCCAGATCAGGTGCAGAAGATGGAGGAATATCTCTTGGCCTTTGCTACTCATGAACTTAATCATTTTGGGATTGATTTCGTCAAGTCCTGCTGCCTTGCCTAGCTTGATCTTGTAGATGCCTTTTTGCGGTTCCTCCTCACTGATGTAGTCGTCTTCAACCGAATCATTCTCTACTTTGCTCCGAGTCTCACACATCTCTACATCTCTACCCTCAAGCAATTCTTTAAAATAGTCCCTCCATCTTTCCATAATCACTTCTTCCTGCCAGATGATCTTCCTATTGTTATCTTTGATTCCTTTAAGTGAAATCGGTCGTCATGTATCAAAAAATGACATGTGTAGTAAAATTTAGAAAAAAACAACATATCAACACATAGATTTAGCCTGTGTGTTGGGAATCTATGGTGCCTATTGATATAGAATGAAGCAAATTTTATTTAGAGATGGTTTAATGAGCAGAAACAGTTGTCCATGCGATCAAGTTGTATTGCATCTGATGAGATATTATATTAACCAGAATTTAGCGGAATTTAGTAATATGGATAAGTATTTAAGTAACATTAAATGTAATTTATGTTTTTTCCTAATATTTTTAAAAGCTAAAGTGTGGATGGTACAGCAGATTTTAATTTATTCCTGTACTAAATTTATTTAATTTTTAATTAATAATTGCTTTAGCTAGGTCATTGAGGCATTCACATAAAATTATATCCTGTAAAAATTCCATCCGGTTAATAATAATTCTGGACGTTCCTTAAGGATATGTTCGACACTTTTGATATGTTACTTCAATTAATTAATACTCAATTAATTAATAAAATAACGTATGGTACAAAAGATTTGAATTACGGTTATCTTTCATACCCTATCAGAAATAAATACAAGTAGAGACTGGCGTTGTTATCAGGTCTGCCTTGAGACCTTAGTGTTTGGAGAAATCGTTATCATGTTTCAAAATACCTTAAATCTTAAACAGATTTATAAATCATCTTATTTATGAAGCTTTTACAAGAATAGACAAAAAGTAATTAATGCACTGTAAAAAATTGCTAAGATTTGCGTTTTTATTTTTTAGGAATAGCATCATAACTTAAGACAGAAAATAAAACCTAAAAATATCTGCTGTGAGATGTACTACTCTGGCGGTGGCGGGGGCGCCCTCGGGGGCTGCCACCAGGGCCAGATGCGGTGTCCCAGTCCCACCCCATCGGGCAGGACTGGGAGCGGCCTTCATATCACGTGTTCCGGCGACGGCGGCCTCTCGGGGCAGCCACAGGGGCCCTGCCAGGAGGCCGCGGCCACCGCCGCAGAGTACAAGGACTTGCCGTACAGAGCGTGAAAGGCGAGGTCGGCCATCTTGCTCTGGCCGAGGTCTTCGAGGCGATAGAGCGGGTAGGGGAAGGGTGGCAGGAGGGGGAGCTTGACCTCGGTGTCCAGAAGAGGCGGCGGCGGAGGCAGCAGGCTGCGGCCCACCTCGGGGTACAGCTTCGTCTCCTTCTTCGGGGTCAGGCTCTTGGGCTTCCTCCTCGGCCGGTACTTGTAGTCTGGGTGCTCCTTCATGTGCAGCGCCCTGCAACATACAACGCAAGTTCAACTTTAAGTCGGCTGTCAGATGAACCCCTAAAAAATCGTATAAGAATGGGTAAGGTGTTGGATGTCAGAGGAATTGATTAGTTTGGGAAAATTAAACATGTTAGAAACATATTGGTACACAACAAGAGTAGAAAAGACTATTTAAAACTTAATAGTATATTTTGAAATGTAAATAGAAAAAATCAACATTGTTATAATTTTTATTTAATTAAAGTTCTTCTGTATGTACGTTTTACATAATATTTTATTTTAAAGTTTTACATAATACTCTTACATGATATTTCTATATATATTATAGAAGAAAATGGATTAAAGGGTTGTATGTATAGTCACTGACACAGGCGGATCTCCAAGGGAGGATGAGAAAGGGTGGTCCTCACGGGCTGAAACCGTGATATAAAAGAATATTACCGTCTTAACAAAAAAAATTAAAAAATCATTTCTAAAAGAATTTTCGTTGGTATAATATTTATAATAATTAAATTTAATTAATAAAGGACTTCAAGAATCATTTAAGCACCATTTCATATAGGTGTATATATATATATATATATATATATATATATATATATATATATATATATATATATATATATATATATATACACTGACAGACAAAAAATTCCACCCACTTGATTTTTCCATGTTTTCTTCTAACAATATTTCTGTAAAGTTGTATTTGTATATAATTCATGGTATTTGTTGATAATACTAAGTATTTATGGAATTTTATAATCTTTTTTACCTTTAATAATCAAAATGTTATTGAGTAAGAAAGATTAGAGAAACAAAAATTGAAAAAACGAACGATTATTATTCTAAAAGAAATTAATTACATCATCGTTTAGTAGCGCGTGTTTCCTCCTCTTGCCTTCACTACTTCTTAAAGACGCCTCGGCATACTTTCCACCTGTCGGGAAATGTCCCTTTGCTGGAGGATAGCCCATTCCTCCCGAAGAGCCCTTTCAAGGTCCTGCAGTGTATCAGGAAGTGTTGCACACGCTCTTATTCGTCTTCCGAGGTTATCCCATAAATGCTCAATGGGGTTCAAATCTGGAGAACGTGCTGGCCAGGCTAAAACCTCAATATTGTTCTGTTGAAGGAACGTCTGCACTATGCGGGCGACATGTGGGAGTGAATTATAGTGCATTAAAATAGAACGATCGCCGATTTCGTTGAGGATAGGCAACACATGAGGTTCCAAAATCTCATCTCGGACATAGCGAATGGCCGTCAAAGACCCTCCACGAACAACAACCAATTCTGTGCGGCGCTCCATTGAAATCCCAGCCCACACCATTAAGGAACCACGTCGGAAAGGTTGGCTCTGGGAAAAATTACAGGCTGCATATCTTTCGTTTCTCCACACCCTTCACGCCCATCTGGAGATCGAAGAGCGAATCTTGACTCATCTGTAAAAAGTACAGCACTCCATTCGTCTATAGTCCAATGGCTGTGTTCTCGAGCAAAAGCCAGCCGTGTTACTTTGTGAGTTCTGGTAACTCTGGTCCTCTTACTGGACGAATGTAATCTTCTTCGAATGGTACGTTCCGAAATTTGCACACCTCGAACTTCTTCGAGCTGATGAATCGCTTGAACAACGGTAAGGTGCCGGTTTCATAAAATTCTCAAAGTCAAAAACCGGTCATCCCGTGGTTCTGTTACCCTAGGCCGTCCAGAACCGGGCCTTCTATTGTAAGAACCAGTTTCCCGAAAACGCCTGACGGCGTCTCGTAAAGTTTCATATGGAACTCCGATGGCATTAGCTGCATATCTAATGGAACGTCCTTCAACAATAAGTGCCACACCATGCGCAACATCCTCAGCACTAAGAGGCATTTTATAACTTAATATTTAAAAAATTAGAAGCCGAAGACTAAGAAATGTGCTGCAAGAAACGGCACTGAACTAATGATACTGAATAAACATTGGAATCTAGAATCATTTCATTGAATTAAGGATTAAGGGTTATTGTCCTCTATATTAACATTCCTAATAGAAAACAAACAACAAGATTACCTATTTTTTCATTGAAAACAATAGACCGATCCAAAGCAGGAATATTTTTAGATGAAAACATGAAAAAATCAAGTAGGTGGAATTTTTTGCCTGTCAGTCTATATATATATATATATATATATATATATATATATATACATATATATAGTTTCTTAATTTTTCTTCCAAAGTAATTATCGTTATATTTAAAAAAAAAAACTTTCGGGCTGAAGCCCCCATCAAGAACCACTAGCGACTCCTTAAAGGATTACTCAAACATTACTTTACATAGGTTCTTTCTTTGTGTTCTGTTCTGTTCTAAAGTTAATAAAATTATTGAAACAAAACGCACTTATGCACTTCGCTATTGCTTAAAATACTAAGCTATGTATATTCACAAAAAACGATATAATTTAATTAGGTACTATTGATTGAGCTTAAGTGGTTCAATACCAAAGGATGGTTATTAAGAATAATAATTTAATGTCAGAAATTAATTTTTTTTTTTAACGAATGAGATGGTCAGGGATATCTATCTTCTTCTCCAAGGGTGATGGCCCAGGCCTCTCTTTCAAGATTTTTCTCTCCTCTTCTTACAAACGATGCAAATGAAAGTAAAATTATAAGTATTATAGTTTATTTTTTCCTTTGTTCCTTGTTTTGAATGAGTTTTTCAATTGAAATCTCAAAAAAATATGGTTCCCTACAAAAACTCATAAACATCTACCTCCCTCAAAAATATAGATGGTGCAATTTGTGCTACGCAACCCTCCCTCTGAGCACTCTTGTAGATGCTCATTGTAATGGAACTACCGATAATGTAATTAAATAAGAAAAAAAAAACATTTGTATTTAATATAATAACTTTTGAATTTCAATGATGAAAAGAAATTGAAAAAGATATTAACTCTATTTTTCGTAAATTTCTGAATTATTATTTTAGTAAATATTATTATTTTGCTGAATATATATTTATTTTTTTTATATAAGGGCTTTTCTTCATACATTGAAGTTTCTCTCGGCTAAACTCCTTCCTCAGTCGGTTCTTCCACTTCACACTGCCCAACGCTTTCTCTTCCGTCAGCCCTCGGCCTGTCTTACTCTCAGCCACAACATCTCTCTACCTTACACGAAGTCTTCCTCTCCTTCTCCTGCCCTCGGCCTCCCACCCAAATGCCGTTATGGGAAATTGTTCGCTATTCATCCTTTTCATATATTATTTGTGAAATATACTTATATGGTATACTTAAATATACCACTGTAATCCTCTTTCTTTCATTATTTCAATTATATTATTCTTAACTTCCATCCTTTCTCTAATGGTATTTTTTCCGCCGATTCTTTGCGTCCTTGAGACTCTAGCCGACCTCCTCCAAAAATCCTTTTCCATAACTAGAAATCTCTTGCTCTATGATTTTTCGAACGACCACGTTTCCGAACATTGCGTTCTCTAGCAGGGCCTTATATATATTAATTTCTTGACTTTATTATAAATATTTTCGCTCCAGAGACCTGAATCGAGCATACTAATTGTTTTCCGCCCTTTTGTCAATCAAATTATTGATAAATATTTAATAAAAATCTAATTTGCACCTTGAAACACAAAGCTACAAGAAAAGGTTGATCAATTTGTTAGGAATATATTCTTTCAATAGTAAGCTTTTTTTTTTCTTTTTGTGTTTTATTTGCAAAATTTTAAAATCCGAAGTTATCCCAGTTTGCTAGTAGACGTAGTAAAGCATCGATTTCTTATTCAGTCAATCAGCAAATACAGTCAGACTACATAATACAGTATAAACATTCACAAAGACATGTGGTATAGGCAAGGGAGTATTTTTTTGATCCTGTAGAAATAGTTTTTAATACATGACTATATTCTATCTCAATTAGTTTAGATGTAACCTCAATAAAATAATGTAACTATGCTGTGTTCCAAAAAAAAAAAAAAAAAAATTAAACAATTTTATTCTATATCCATTCAACACGCGAATTACTTTGTAAGGAATTTCTGATTGTCGGCCAACAGTGGTGCTGATTTGGCCAAAATCAAGCTCAATTTAAAAATAAATAAATAATTTTATTTCATATTTATTCAGATGGAATATTTATTTACAGTTCAAAAAATATTTATAAGTTTTAACTAGCACTAATATAATCAGATTTTTTTTAATAAAAAGGAAATGTTTGAAAAACATATATTTTTATTGATGGGAACTGTCTGTAATACCAAATATTACATTTCTTCCAAATTTCTGCAATATTATATTACATTTCTGCAATATATAAATATTACATTTCTGCCAAATTTCTTCAATAACTGATTGAGATTTAGTTTGATTTGTTCCGAGATTCGAAATGAGAATATTGCTACAGTTGTGGGGAAAGATGTTATCAAAAGTAGCTACTACTGACAGGTGAGACCCGTACCGCGCGACAGGATAGACAATGCAAGAACCGCTCATGAAGGGAGAAAGATCCTTTATTATCCGTGGATAATGGCCGTCAGGAGGAAGAAGAGTTAGGAAGAATGGCTCTGTTATCTTGTGATTTCAGCTTCCCATTCTTCCTCTTCAGTTCTCCACGTCCCTGCCTGTCCTATTATACACCGCCGCTTTGTAGCTCCCTTCCTATCTCTGGTATCATATTATATAAAACATATAAATAAACACCATGCTCTATCGCTCCATCTTGTGAATTTTGGAGTTTTGTCTTTGTTCTGAAAGGGAGCTTATTCAGTGTGTTCACAAAACACAAACACAACGACATTTTTACATTACGATTAATTCAATGATTCTCTCTCATAGTTCGATTTAGACTTCACACTTTAATGTTAAAAATCATTGTCTGAAAGCGATTTTCATTTCATCTCACTATTGACAAATCATCTTATGACAGAATTAAAAAAGATATGTATTTCAATCATGAGGAAAAGCGCTTTTCTTAGTGTCAACAACACATCAATTTTTACGATCCTCCTTATTTTAGGTTTGTTTTATATGCCCAATGATAAATGTTTGCTGAAATTCCAAGTCCAGGCCTGGTCGGCGATCGCCTAGGGCCTCCGAGCTAGAAGGTCCTCAGAGGAGACTCCAAAATAATTGTTCTATATTTGTTTAGTACTAAAAAATACTTTTTTTGTACTTTTTTACAGTAGAATGATTGAGGATCCTCTCAGAATATCATCATCCCAAAGGTAATTGTTTTGTATTCGTTTTTTTCCGCAAGTTTTTGGGACTCCTCAGGTGGGAACCAATATAAATATTTATTTTTTTTATCCCCGTAGAATTATTGGCCCCATGTAGAAATATGTATAAGGAAACCCCAGTTCAGACTTCCGAAAACGTTCAGTTAATATAATATTTTATCAGATGCAATACCATCGCATGGATAGCTGTTTCTGCTTATTATACCTTCTCTAATAAAATTTGTTTCATTTTATATCAATAGGCACCACAGATTTCCAATACAAAGGCTAAATGAATGTGTTGAGGTATTGTTGTCTCTAAATGTTAATACACGTACCATTTTTTTAGGACGAAATCATTTGTTTTTAATGTTTGATAGTGACGTGAATATTCACTCTTAATTAATATGACTGAAGCCAATAATCAGATAGAATTATTTCTCCTAACGTAAAGAAATATATAAAAATACTAATCAATTTAGAATATGGTTTTACTTTTCTGAAATACTATTAAGAAAAAGGAACGATTTGCTCAATATAACTACTTAACCTTATTTTAGCTATAAATCAAATAAAAAGAAAATACATGTAGTATTTAGCCGAAGGTCCCAAACGGAGCCAGATCGAGCCTATATCCACCTTTTTTTTTGTTTGTGTCCACCTATGTACACCACAAGACATGTTACAATAACAAACTGTGAGTAAAGCATAAGGAAACGGTTCTAATCAATAAGAATTATTACGAAAATGATCGAACCAGAGAAGTGAAAATAAACACATGCATTATTGCTTAACACGGGCGGATCTACGGAGGAGGGGCCCAAAGCTGAAGCCCCCCTCTCCCCTCCCCCCAGAAATGGTAAAGTATAACAATGTTTTATAGAAAAAAATATTAAAAAATTAACTCTTAAAGTATTATTGTTTGTGTAATTACATTTAAAAGGACTTTAGGAATCACTTAAACGCCATTTCGTATAGGTAGTTCGTTTCTTCCTTTTTTTCCAAAGTAATTATCGTTATTTTTATGAAAAAAAAGCTTTCGAATTGAAGTCCCTCAAAAAATTTAATCATGGATCCGCTAGTGTTGCTAAGCGATGGACATAACATTGCGTACAGTGTATTCTTTCAAAATTGTTACGCTATGTTTTGAAAATGTATCGTTAACGATTGCGAAAGATTTATTATCTTCAGAAAAATAAAATCTTATTGATTTATACTTTTTTTAGTTAGAAGATACAATTCTATTTTATTATAATTTTATTTAGATTCACTCGTTGACGTCACAATAAAAAAAATTGTAAATCTAGTTCGTCGTAAGAAATTAGAATGTGTATTATAATTTAGAAAAAGAAAGAAAATCTCGACACATGCATTCAGCTTGTGTGCTGAGAATCTATGGATGTACCTATGTTAACGTAAATTATTTTAAAATTAGTTTATAAAATAAGAGAAATGCAAAGAGTCCTATTTTCTTTTCTGATGAATATTTGCAAAGATAATTATTGCTAAAGAAAAGTTGTGGGGATGGAGCTACGTTCATGGCCTGTCAGTGCCTAGCACTTACCGCTGATTACTTATACTTATTAGCATGTACTAGAGTTTCCAGCTTCAAAAGTTGCATCCAAGATGTATCTTGACGGTTTTCTTTCATCGTAAATAGGAGTTTATGATTTAAAATTATTTTACTAGCTTTTATAATTGGATATTTATAAAATAAAGCCGAGATACGCTTTGGTAGCATCTTGTTTTCTTAAAAACATATACATCACACTACCGTGGACTCAGGTCATACACCCAGTTCCACCACACCTCTAGGATGTACTGTTAGTTCTAGGTTTTAACTAAATATGAATTTCTATTATTATTTAAAAGTGCAATCTCAATCTCATATGCATTCCTTATAGCTTTAATGTGACTCGACCTCCATCTTTCTCCAATTATTTTCCATCTTAGGAAATATATTTTAGATTCATAAAAAAGCTCCTAAAGTTGTGATATGTATATTACGTTAAAGGATTTTTTTTTGTTTATTTAATGAAATTAACAACTGTATACACATACAACTAGTAAATAAGAATAACAGGCTTGGAGAGGTACTACCCAGTAGTAGCACTCCCTAAATAATTCTAGGTAGGAAGGGCATCTCCTTTTCAGACGCCTAGAAGGATTATCAGAAATCGGGGAAGAAGCAAGGGTGGAAACAAGTGGATTTGGATCGGACTGGAGTTTAGCATGAAAGGATAGATATCTGGCTCGGGCTAGATCAGCGACAGATGGTACATTAAGATCTTTAAGAATGGTTTTATTTGTGACAAAGTACGGAGCATTTAGGATTTTACGGAGGATTTTGGATTATAAGGATTGGGTACGATAGGAATTCGATGGTTTGGTGGAGCCCCAACGTTAAAGGAATTAGATTTAAAAAATTAAATTTCGATAACGGATTGAGATATGAATGTGCTTTTGCAACGCTCAACTATAGTTTCGGTACACTGTCTCTCCCTCGTTTATTGACATTTCCTTCTACGTAACCTTGTTTATTACTTATTGTTAGAGGCAATCTGTTATTACATAAGTTAATCTCAAATGTCAATAGTGTTAGCAAATAGTTGCCGGAATTTCGTAAGTGTGAAAGCTAATATAAATTAAAATAATTTTGCATCCAAGGCAGAAGTAATAATAGACAACCTTTCCAAAAGAGAAATCAGTGGACGGAATTGGAAAGAGGATTGTGGGCTCTGAATAGGGAGAAGAAAAGACGGTAGCGACGAAGCAGTAGATCAGGCTAAATACACAATAGTGATATCGATAAGGGCAGTGTAGGTGTGAGATAGGGCCATTGTGGGCTCTATCTGAGGAGCTGTCGCTATCTGGGGCCCTTAACATCGGGCATTAGCCTCGTACGCCCTTTTTCACCGAGACAACCACCTCCGCCTTCCTCCCAGTTTTCTCTCTACATTTTGGCCCATGTATCATACCCTTCTCTTATCTTTCGTCTTGTTTCTATCCTGGTCGGAAAATTATTGCCCGATTCCGAAACGAATAAAAACGGAAAGTTAAAAAACAAAACAAAATACCTTTTACGAGATGCTTTGCAAGTTTCTGAGAAATTTATTATTGAAGTAGTATAAAAACCTTAATGTATTGGGTTGTCCAGAAGATAATGCATTATTTAATGTTTGCTTTACATTAACACTCTATATAAGAAATTATTTTTCTTTGAGGGATCATTCTCTTGTATAGATGTCAACACTTATTAATCCTTTTTCTAAGAAAAATATTTTTTATCTTCTGTAGCTGGATATTATAGTCTTTACTAAGATGTAATTTTCACATAATTTCATTTTACGAGCATATACTCGGTTCAAGCGGAGCCAAACGGCCAAAAACATTAAAGAGGTCTATGGCAATGGTTGTATGATTTAGTAAACGCACCGTTCAAAAATAAAAAAAAAAACTTATTATTAATGGTTTTATAATAAGTAATTGTTTAATATAGTAGTCAGTTGCTTTATTAATAGACTAAAATTAATTATTTTCATACGCTTCGATTTTTTTTTGTTTTATCTCTAACAAATGGCAGACGCCCCCGTGCAAGTCGGCGCCCCGAAGCGATTGCTGGTTTTACCCGACCCTGAGGCCGTCATTCCCTCATTCTCCAGACTTCTCGCCTAGGTAAAATTTAGTGGATCATAAATTCTTTTATTTAGTGGAAGGGTGAACTCAGATGCAGGGTGAATTGTTGCGCCTTGAACAGGAAGATTTCCTTAAAGCTTTTGAAAGCATTTTTGAGAGCTTCCAGTTTATGAGAATTATTTATAAAATAGTTGTTTTTTTAAAGAAGGCAAATATTCTTTTTTCTATCATTTTTTTTTAAATATGACAATAGCCGTTTGGAAAATCCAGCAGCAAAGAGGTTTAAAAATGACAATGAGAGAGTAGCGTAGAATTGAGTAACAAACAGACTAAAGGAGAGACAGTGACCCTGTAATTGTATGCCGGTTAGGGCGACAATGGCCCTGTTATCAACAATTCGACAATAGCTTTCTATCTGCCCCGATACCTCTCCTACCAAATCCTCTCAATCGCTTTGCCGATTGTCGTTTCAAGGGGTCCAGCTTTTTTTCTTTTGATTCGTCAATCGGGTCATTGTTCATTATTTCGACCGAGGGATTTACAGCCCATTGTTTCATCTGTCCAGCTCGCATCTTCAGTTGCTTTTCACTTATTGTCTATAAATGAAGTGTTCACTTTGCTTTTTGTATTTTATTGAAAAACAAGTGTCCATTGATTAATTCACTCCTTATTGTAAGATTTTGGAATTTTTAAGAGATGAATGCTCATTATAAAAACTATTCAATATGCAAATCTTGTTTCAGTTATTATATGAGCCTTTCAGTAGACGGAATGACTAACTCCAATTTCAAAATTTTTGAGTAATGTCGTTTTAGTGATATTAATAATTGAAAAAATTATAATATTTGTTCAGATAGCCACTAAGTTCATTCCAGAATAGGTGATTTCAGTGTTGAAATATAGAACTGTGAATAGAGGTATACGTTTTCCCGCTAGGAAAATCACTAAAATTAAGAATCAAAAATGTTGAAATTGGAGTTAGTGAAAGTAATGAAAGTTTCATTTGATCAAAACTACACTCTTATTGATAACGTTTTGTTGACATTTCCAACAGTTATGTTTATTATTTCGATAGATGGATTTACCGTCTATTGTCTCCTTCATTTGCTTATTTTATAAAGAAAAATTCGATATTTTATTAAAAATGTAAAGTTGTATTGACGTGGTTACTTCTTACAGTAATAAAGAGAGTTCCACACCACGTACTTTTTGTCTAAGCTATTGCTTAGGACATTAAGCGATGAGGGAGCACAAACTATAGAATTTGAAGTGTGAAAAATATAGAAGGACCAACTCATTAGTGGATCCAGGATTTAATTTTTTTGGGGGGGGTTCCAGCTCGAAAGATTTTTTTTTTCATTTACATATTACGATAATTAATTAGAAAGAAATTAACTACCTATATGAAATGGTGTTTAAGTGGTTCTTGAAGCCCTATCAAATGTAATTATACGAACAAGAATACTTTAAGAGATAGTTTTTAATATTTTTTTCTGTAAAACATGGTTATATTTTACCATTTTGAGGGGAGCTTCAGCACGAAAGACTCTTCCCTCCCCCGTAGTTCCGCCTGTGGACCAGCTAATGGAAGACCAAGAAAATAAGTTATATAATGTATGCTTATGATATGATTTTCAAAAACAAATGGAAAAACCTATAATTTATAATCAGAGGTAATATCCACGGAGTTTCCTAAGGCTCTCCAAACCGCTCAAGCATATGGTAAAATTTTAAAAACTATTAAAAAAGTATAACATTTAGCTAATTATTCATATAAGAGGTTAATAAATCATTTAGTGCATGGGTTTCTTTCTCTTAGAAAGCTAATTCCACAACTGAAATGTCATTAATAGAACAAGATTTTTTTTCATAAGCCATGACCCGCGGGACTTTCTAGTCTAAATTTCACCCGCGTATCAAACAGTTTGGAAACTCTTGTTGAGTACTGCCTTGGATGGTTTATTACAATGCGCTTAATTTTTTTTAGATCTGAAATCTAATGGTTTTAAATAAATTTTCAATTCCTTAAACTATATATTTTAATATACTGTAAGCCATGCTTCATAAATGACAGTTATTGCAGTCATATGAAACTTTAACAACTTAATACAAAAGACAAACAGCTTGTATATTTAAAAACATTATATTTAGTTACATGTGTAAATTTAAAACTGATAATAAATAAGCTCGAATGTGTAAACTTTTATAATGTTTGGGGGCTGAGATGGCCCTAGGCTACCAACTACATGTTGTACAAGACAGGCAATATAAAAACCTTCCTTTTTCGATTAAAAAATAATATGAGAATTAAAAACGTGTATTAGATAATGAATAGTGTGGTAGAACATAATTTTCTTTAAATCCATGCCATTTTTATCTCCTAAATATTTTTTTCTTTTTTAATGACTATAGACTAAAATTCCTCCATAACTTCATTTCAGAATCTTCTGATAACCACAGCATCGAAACCATATTGAATATAGATACGTTAAATAAAGTTTAGTATTATATGATGAGAATACACAAAGTGCATACACAAAATTGTTGATCATAGCCCATGTTCTATTAAGTTTATCTTAAAAGTAATATTTTGTTTATATATATAAATATTTTTATTTTTTATTGTTAACAGGTTCATACAACTATTATTATGCAGTAATCGTTTTATGTTTTTCATTTTTATTGTTATTCATGTTTTGTAAAACCCATTATAAACGTAAAATATTGTAAATTTTTTTTATATTTAAATGATATGAATGTAACTTGTAAAACCATATTATTCTACAATAGGCAAGCAAATAGAGGCTCTATTTGTATGGAGAACCCCCCAAAAACAAATAAAATTGCTATCTATCTATCTATCTAATCTTTTATTTTATTTCTTCTTAAGGTAAGGTAAGGTTTCTGTACTTGAACTTCAAGATAATGATGGTTGATAGTTGAATTAATTGAACAATAAATCTCATTGTAAATCTATCTATCTTGCAGCTATTAAATATTTCTTGAAAAATCATATTGCAGCAATTTCTAAGCGTTATGTTTCATTCTCAAGGTCAGCGTCGTGGGGAGGACACAAGAGCACCATAATTTCCCGAATACCTAGGATAATTTTCAGGGGCTTACTCAAATATTAAATATACCACTAAAACTGAGCTGAATATGTTATAAATTAAACTGCAAAAATACACAAAGGTAATTATTATATATGTAATGTTAACTATATTTTATTTTAATTTGAATTGAGAAGTTAAAAAATAAAATCTCGTAGGCCACACTCTGGATCCCGGCTTACAACCCCGCCTGAGCCCCTTCTCGTCGGCGATGCTCAAGAGATACTTGATTGTTGGAACTAGATGATGACTTATACGTGATTCCAAATTAATAATATGTCACTATCTCCATCTTGAAATATCAATTATATCTAACCCATTACATTCTAAGCCCTCTGCAAGAAAAATTAATTCAACAGGTTATTACATATTTCAATTTAATAAAAGAGGGGCTTAGTAACCCTTAATTAAAGAATGTTTCCCTTCGGGGAGGACAGAGGCAGTTAATACAGGAGTTAATATTAAGTATATTTAAATGGCGGATAGAGACGGGTTCAATTAGGGCAACAATAACCCTCGGGAGCCCCCATTAGCATTGGAAGGAGCCTCGGTAATCCTCCCCTTATCTCCCGGCAGTTAGGAGTTGATTTGCTACGGCCCTCGGTCGCCAAATAGAATTTAAAAACACTCCTCCGGATCCTTCATTTCCAATCCTGCCCAGGGCAGTGGAACAATTCAAGTGTCATTACATCTCTGATAGGGGGGGGGGGGGGGGAGACATCGATTTCTTCCGCTACATAGTGAATCAGCTCAGTTCGTTTCATTTCAGCTCTCGAAAGCTTTCTTTTGTTTGCCAGATGTTAGGACTAATCTGAACAAATAATAACGCTTAACATTTTTTTTAGAAACCTATTCAGTTTAAACAAATATTAAAGCATTTATGCACACGGCAAATATTAAAGCATTGAATTTATAGTAATTAAAGAGGGTAGTAATTTTTTTTACATTTATATATTTAGCTTCATCTCTACAGAAAGGAGAGCTGTAGTTGTGCTGAAGGTGGTCATGCTCACAATCGAAAATTTTTTCTGGAAACTGTTAATTAGATTTTCATGAAATGTCCAGAGGGTCTCATGATAAATTCATCAAATTCCATTAACCATTTTCGCATAAACACGTGTAAATGTATTTTCATATACACACCTATATTTTAGATACGCCTCGTTCGATCTGGTTTAATAAAGATGAGAAAAATGGTGAATTTATGAACTTTTTAGGGTTAGTAACCATTAAACCTAAATGTTGCGATATAGGCTTTATGATATTCCGTCTACTTTATTCCGTTTGACGAGCATTTTTCCTTGATCAGTCTATGTTTCAAATTATAGTCTGTGGTACAGATCCCTTTTTATCAAATTATTAACATCCGCCTAAAACTTCGTAAATAGCTTCATCTCATCGTAAATAAAATATTTGTATATTTGGTTATGGTGAGATGAAGCTATTTACGAAGTTCTAGGTGGATTTTTATAATTTGATAAAAAGGAGTCTGTACCACGGACTATAAGACTTCTGTAGATTTTATTCCTGTATATACCGACCCTACTGAGGGGACGTTTTTTTAGAAAATGGTGTGAATATTATGTTATCGCAAGATATCACAAGGGCATTTACATTTCATGTGAGAGTGACCTGAACGTTCTACTGACAGTAGACCCATCCTTTGAGTTGATCCTATTCTTTTCCACTGCCTATTCGGATATTAATAGGCCTATATGCCTCTTAAGATTTGGTTCCTTGGAGAGAGATGCATACCGCAAGATAAGCAGTTCAACTTCTTATAAATCATTATTGTCGCTGGATATGACCCAAAACTAAGACAAGATGAAGCTCATTCCGTCTTCAGTCAGCCAAGTTGCCAGGTAATCCATGCGAGGATTTTTTTCAATGTCTTCACCTAACCTTAAACAAAGTTCTCCAATTCACCCGATTTTATTTGTTCATCTCTAAACATAGATAAGGCATTCCCAAATAACTCGTGCTCTTTAAGACTTATGTCCTCTCGGCATCCATCATCTTCTCCTCACACCGCTGCGTAACGTTATAACACAGCATTAAGCCAAGTTAATGTGGCTCTACCCACCCTGCAGGTCTCATATAATGCATATTTTCTTGCGTCCTTCATACATCATGCAATAACAACCAAGCGCCCTTCCTACATGAGTCAGAGTATGCAATTTTCATTTTCTATCCAATCCCGTTCTACCCGATCTTTCCTTCTAACTTTTACCTCCCTTCCCTCCGAACTACTGTGTTTGACTATTTCTCTCTGGAACTCCATCCCACTCACCATACTTCAATCAACAATTTCCTAAATCGACAAATTCAAAAATATCTCCTTTTGAAAGAGTCATTTCCGCGTCCAGTTTTTATAATGCTATTATATATGATTTTACTTGTTGATTTAGAAAAAATCTCTTATTACCCAACGTAATTTTTATTATTTTGTTTTTATATATTTATATATTTTTTATTTGATTTTAGGTTATTGGTTTAGTCTTATTCTTTCTCCACCTTTATGTTTATTGTATTAACGAATAGAAATGAATTTAGTTAAAGGCAGTAAGGCCACTCGGCTTTAGCCAATATAAAATGTGCTTATAATTTATTCTATAGAAGCATAAGTTCCAGAGCAATGAAGATATTTTTCATTTCTTCTCATTTTGCCACCATTCGAGTAGCTTCCTAAATTGTTCAGTGGATTCCTTTTTATCCATTAATATATATATTACAATATTTATAATACTTAGCTGTTTATATTTTTTTCAAGGACTATATTTTTCTGAGTAACCAATATTTTTGTTAGTATTGATCTCGATTTACTTAAATTTTGGTTTAAATATTTGACAATTAACAGATCGTAGCAGTAGCCAACAGAGCTATTTAAAATTATGAGAAGCAGACTAATAAGTTGCTCTAAAAATTAAGACTGTACACATGTCTTGCAAGGTCAAAACTTACGCATGCGAAATGTTGACACTTAACAAATCAGTTACTCAAAGAAGATCTTGACACACATTCTTGGGTCAGTAAAAATTAATGAAACTTGGCGAAGTGCCTAGTTGTATGGTTAATACTATGATTTGAGTATCTCCAGCTTCGTCGCAGAGTTTAAAATGAATTGGTCGTATCATCAGGATTGAATACTGCATACTATCTAAAAGCGTACAAGAATACGCCGTGTGGGGGAAGAGATCCATAGGAAGACCAGAAGGATGGTGTCCGCATAGATGAGGTAGGAATGAATGATCATAGTCCATGCTGCAAATAGGATCGTTTGGGGCAAAGCGATTGCGCCGGCCAAGGACTACTTCATGTGAGAGCGCCATTAAAGAAAGAAAAAGAATTTTAGATACATTACTTATGCCTTTGATAACATTACATATAAATTTAATAACATATAAACAGAATGTGACTTCAGGGATAGTCAGAATTCACGCCGCCAATAAATCTCATGAAATCACCAACTTCCTCAGGAACCCCTTGAAATCTGAACCACGCACCTTAAAAACTGGTATGGTAATAAATGTGATAGCAGCGATAAGAGGGAGCTGGCTGCGGTCGGTCTGCAGACAAGAGGCCTTAGTCATGGGAGGAAGAGGCTTTATCTCCTCTGGGCACTGGAGATGGCTGATCGGGGTGGGAGGATTAAATGAAGATATTATAGGCCATAAACGGACATTGTTCCCCTTTCACGCTCCTCCTAATCTGGATTGATTCTTTTTTGCTCCCCTCCCCCCCCCCCATCCCAGAGCAAATTGCCAAGCTGACAGCCCCTCCTCAATCACTCCTTCAAGTCATCCCCCTCATCTGATATTTTGTTTACCGGCTCTATATCTCTCCTATCGGGCAAGCGCTCTTAATTACCTTTTATTACTCTGCACATCTCATGCCTCCGAGTGGTATAAAGAATGCTATAAAGGAGGGATTAATATTTATCGAGAATTCCTTCTTCTAATCCTCGATTGTTTGGAGTGAAGTTCATATTAAAGCAAATTAAAGCATTATTGTTTCAGAACAATTACTTACATAACATTACAAGAAAAATGAAAATAGATACGGTTTTACAAAATGTAAGATAATGATGATGTTAGCAGATCTTACTCATTAAGTGATTTAAAATATCTAAACCAATATCAACTTTTTTTTCAAACATTTCATCATTAGCTGCATTTTCAGAATTCTGAATTAAAGACTCCACTTAATTTAATCAGATCAATGATTTTTTACATTTATTACTCATATTATTTAGGATGTTAAAATATTTTGAAAAAAACTATAAATTTCTTTTTTACAAATAAAATTTTAATAAATTCCTTTATATTTAATATGGTAACATTTCAGTTCTTTTTCACTTTACCCATACTCAAACACATCATATATCATTGTCAGCAACAATAAAAAAGCTGAGGGTTTTAGAAAAAAATAATATCTAAGTTATAAAGTCGTAGAAAGTACTGGAGAGTGACGAAAAAAATAAATACATTTTTTGAACAATATCGTTAGAATTATATTATAAATGGAAAAATAATATAATAACATTATCAGATACCTGCTAACTATTGACTCTATATATGTATTGCATAGCAATCATATAATCATACAGTAATACTGTTCTTTGTTAGGTATTGTTACATACATCTATTTTTAAAATTTTTTTTTTTATTCAATTATCACTAACATTATTTTTTTTATATAAAATTAAACGCCAACACGTATCTTTCATAACTGATGTTAACGCTCTTCTTATGGTGTATTTACATTTTATCCACCATTTATATAATTAGGTTTATATTGACAGATGCAACTTTCACTTTTTAAAATAAAACTTAGAGTTTTTTTATGAAAAGAACTTATTTTATTTTGTCTCTTTTTCGTTCATCATATCTTAAAGTGTCTATGTATGCTGGTATACCGTTATATATAGTTTTAGGTGTTTTGTACATAGTTTTATCTGTTTTTTATATATCTTGTTCACTTGAGATTTTCTTTACTTTTTAGTTTATTTTATTTGTTGTTTCAAACTTTTCTTAACTAAACCAGAAGTAGTCTTTTCTTTTTGTACAATTTTGTTATTCTAAAGGAATTTTGTCTCCGAATAAAGTTTTTATTTCTATCTATCTAATGACATTATATCTCTCTTATATTTTTATGCTTACTTTACTTAAAATTATATTTGTGTTTTTAATAAAAAAATTTTCACCCTATTTGACAGCATATAACAAAAAGTCATCGACAAAGTTTTATTAATAATAAACAACATATAAAGTTTTTAAATAATATTATATATAGCTACATATGATGATTCGCCGCTGTAGTTCGTATGATTGTATATAATGGTAGTCTGTGTGATTGTGATAATGTAACAGATATTATTAGATCAGTTTCTCGCCTCTGCAAAGATCGTATATCACTCCAACTGATCGCGCTCTGATTGATGGAGCCTATAGTGATTTCTTCGCAAAATCTCTTTTAAACATTATGAAGTATGTTTCTGCCGATTTTCTAGAGTTATGGTCATTGCAGTTGTTTTATTTAATAAAAACAGTTTCTAATTTTAAAAGATAGATATCAAAGTTGGCTAAAAGCGGTGCCACAAGCTAGTCATACTTTTTTTTCCCGCCTTCACCAGCCTTCTCCACCCCTGTCCATCTTGGTATAATTCTATCCAGTTTTCTGCATTGCATCTTACTTGATTCGATCTACCCGTCGATCAGTTAATCATACTGACTGTTAAAATATTTTAGTTTTAATTTTCTTTTATAATCTATTGAAAAATCAATGCAACTGTTTAACTGTCAAGGGCAATTGTTTAAGTGTTACTGTGTACCCAGCGATCTATTCTTATGTAATCTCTAATGCCATACATCATGACCTTAATATCCTCTTAGTTTGTTTGTATATTTTGGCGTTAAGGCGTAAAACCCTAGGGTCATCAACGCCTGTGAGTGGGTTATATTTGTAAACTCTTTAGAGGAGAATTAATAATTAATAATAGATAAAGTAATAAATGAAAAAAAATTAAAAACATAGAAAAAAAGAAATATATTAAAATAAATTTTAAAAAACAAAGCACAATAAAATAAAAATTATATTTATTTTTATATTTTATTTAATAGCCTATGGATTTTAAGAAATTTCATCACTGTTTGTATGTTTGATTCGTTGTTGCTTAATACTGCTGATATATCCGGTTTTAGAGATAATCGATTTAGGCTTGAAGTATAATAAGTGCATTCCTGGAAAATATGATTGACTGTGAGAAGGCTATTGCAGTGCTGACAATGTGGTGGTGGCTGCTTAGTGATGAGATGTACATGGGTTAGGTTCGTGTGTCCTATTCTAAACCTGGTCACGGCGACTTCCTCTCTACGATTAGGGCGGTTTGATGTGATCCAGGGCTTCACTGATTTTTTAACAACTTTTAATACATCCTCTTAGTTTTAGATCTTATTCAATACATTTTTCCAAATTTCATTAGAACCTTACTCCCCATCCTAATCCTTTAACGCAATTTAACTCCATACATCTTTTTAACTCTCCTAGAAGGTTAAAAAGCCGAGACCGTCTGTAAATGTGTATATTGGGATTTAGACTAGGGATATTGATTTTCATAGGCTTTTAATACCAGTAACGAAATTGAGAAAAGCTCTGGGATCTACTTTAATACCCTGGATAATATTTAAATAGTTCATATATTTATTTTACTTCTTAGCATTACATATATTTTTTGGTTGTTTTTCTAATATTTAATTCGCTGTATTTTCTTTAGACATGATGGGAATAAACTTATCTCTATTACTATTTCTTTTGATTGAGACAGTATTTAAAATTTTATAAAAAAAATAACAGAGCTGTGACGAATCATTTTTGGGTTCTAATTGATAATGTTTACTTTATTATTCTAATTCGCATTATTACTTTCGAAATGCACTACATAAAAAATGAAATAAATAATAATAAATGATTTAAACATTTAAATTACTCTCTTTTGATTTGTTTGATATTTTAACATCGCTATGAGCAAGTTGCCGGTAAAATGTATCAACTTTAATTTAACTGGAAAATCTTAGTGAAATTGATCAGTATTTGTATGATATTATTGTCTTTATCCTATTTACTATTCACATTAATCTTGCTTAATGATTTAAAACAATTTACCTGATTGTTTTCCTTGATCTAAAGTTTAATCGACGACATAAACCAAAGATATACGATCCTTGTAATGGCTAATACAGGAAGAGTGTTATCGATCGGACTTAAGAACTTATGATACGTTTAATCACATTTATTTCCTTATCCGAACTATTGTAACATATATCTTAAGATATATATATATATATATATATACTGCAAAAAATGAACTAAAGACCTCAAAACAAGAACAATATTTTCTCAGAAGGTAAGACAGCATGTGACGAAAAATAAAATACGGAACAAAAATAGTTCGTAAAATAATTTTTAGTTTTTGTAAATAATAATAAGTTCTTTTTTTTTTATTAACTCGAAGAGGGTTAAATATATAATTAAGTATTTAGTATTAGTTTTAATAATAAGCAATTGTTTATAATAAGTCTAGTTTTAAGTATTAGTTGTAAATATTATTTTTAAGTGAGTGTAACAGAAACCAGCTGATTGGGAGGAAAAAAAAAAGACAGTCGAGAGAGAGATGGCGGCACCTCGCGAGGGTTGAGGAACGTTAAGGATTTTGTGTGTAAAATGTTTTAGTTTTACGGTGTACACCGGTTTTTCTTTACTATTCATGAACCTGTGATTATCAGCGACGGGTGCCGCTTGGTCTTACAAGTTGGTGAATGAACATTTTCACAACTTGAGGAGATAAATTGGGAAGACACTGACGACGCTAGCTGGATTAAGATCCCGATTCCTCAGATAATTCAATGTGCCAATTGGACAAAGTTCGGCATTGAGATTTTGTAAATATGTATATATAAGTTTTTATTTCCTATCTATTTTTTTTAAATGTTTGTAATTGGTTTATTGTATAGTCGTAAGTTAATGTTTAGTTCAATAATGATTTTATGTTGTTTTATGTATATATTATATTGTTTTTTTTTTCTTTTTTTTAAGGTTTAATAAGGAATTGTAAAGCCCTATTCGAGGGATTAGGGAAAGTCATTATTAACCAAGTAGGAAGGTTCGATAGGTTATAATGTTAATTAACATATGTTTTTAAACCCAAAGGTTCCGAGTTCGTAGCTCACTCCGCGTCCTAATCTTTTTTTTTTTTTAATTAAATTTATTTAATTTTTTTTTATTTTTGTGGTTTTCGCTATTTTCCAAATTCAATAAATCAAATAGCATGGCGCTCGTTAGAAAGTTATTAATATTTAATTGACTCTTGATTATTTTTTTAAATTTATTTTTTTTTTTTTTACGAACCCTGCCGTCTCCACTGAGCATCAGGCAACTTTGTTGAGGAAACGATTCTTCGAAATTAAAGACCGTAACAGTTTTTAACATATGCAAAAATGAAGTAAAGACCTCAAAACAAGAACAATATTTCCTCAGAAGGTAAGACAGCAAACGCTTTGTTTAGGAGATATTCACATCTGAAGATTTTCGATGTTATGTATTATTTACGTTATATGAAATAAATAAAACCTATTTATTTGTTCTAACTAGTTCATTAATTAAATTTAAACATTAACATTTTTATTAAATGTTGTTCAAAGTGATTTCCTTGAGCATTAAGA